AAATAGATAATAAAGACTGAATAATAATATAAAATTTGTATTTATTTTATTTGTTAAATGTGATACAAGATACGAAGCAATAATTTCTATTTACACTAATATTAGACTTCAAATCCTAATTAAATAAGAAAAAAAATCAAGAAATATAAAGAAATAAGGAAACTATTTTTATGAGATCATATAAGATATTTTAAACTATTCTACAAAACAACCAAAACACATTGGATATTTTTCATATGTTCTAACGCATCCACAATTTAAAATTGAAATTGCAAGAAATAAAGGATATATAATTAGTAATTATGGTTCACAACTGTACGGAGAAAACAAAATATGACCCATGCTTTTTTTATCTTCAAACTAAGTTGTGACCAAATAAAATCTCTTCTAGTCATGGCCTTTGGCTTTGGCTAGAAAACATCGGTTACCCAAATATCGTTCGCAAAATTATCGGTCTACCAAATACTCTTGCATGCCTTAACTGCTTGGAGATAGATAATCCTGTCATCCCAAATGATGGAGGCTTACCCCTGACCCAAAATCTAGCGGAAAGGGATATCGCTTCGTGTCTTCGTGATGTTGGCTTTAGTTCCTAGCAAATAAAAAGGCTCATCGTAGTCCTTAAAAAATTTAAAATAGACCTATTTAGTTGAAATTGCGATCCTTCACAAATTCAAAACAAAATTTATATTAGTCTTTCAAAAAGACTAAAATAAGTCTATTTTAAATTTCTTAAAAATCACGATGAGCCTTTTTATTTATTAAAGACTAAAGCAAATATTGTGAAATTTACTGAAGTCCAAATAAAATATTTACTCTACAAAATATGTTAGTGTGAACCGACAGCAAAATAGTCAACTGAATTGCACGATATTTGTGAAGACACTTTTTCCGATACTTGTTAATCCTAACAAATATTATTCTAATAACTTTTGGGGAGTCACTTTTAATGAGTCCCTTAGCTATATATTTAGATTTTGAATGAGATTCAAAATCCGGTTCAAATATAACTAATAATTATAGTTGACAAACGTATATATAAATATCATAATATATAACTTGAGTTTGATAAAAAAAAAAGGTTATACTTATATAATGTTACATAAAAAACACTATTTGATCCTACACAAACATAAAAGAAGAGAGAAAAAATGAGCTGAGGAAAGAGAAAATAAAAAATTGTGGACCCCACATCTATTTGTTTGGGTAGGAAAAGAAGCTTTGATCATGTTACATAATAGATGTATTTCCCTAAAAAAAAAATAAAAGAATGATTGTAATTACATAAGAAGATGAATTAATTAATAAAAAATATGTTAGCCTAAATATAGCAAGAAAGCCAATTCAAGAGTTGCACAATATTTGTGCAAGGCTTTTTTTTTTATACTTGTTAATGCCAATAAACACTATTCTAATAAATTTGGGGAAATTACTTATAATGATTCCCCTGGAAATACTATTCTAATAATTATGATTGATGATGAGTACATGGAGAAGATAAAATATAACATATATTCGATCTAAAATATAAGAAAAATTGTAAACACATAAGAAGAACATGAATTAATTAATAAAACATGAATTCATGCGAACCTATAATAGGAAAGCAAGCTCAAGGAGTTACATGATTTTTATGCAAGGCTTTTTTATGCTTGTTAATGTCAATAAATATATATTATTCTAATAACTTTCGAGGATTTACTTTTTTAATAACTTGCTTCGCGATATATTTACATTTTGATTTTGATTGGTGAACCAACATTGTTCTTCTTGTGAATTAATGATTTCTTGAAATATAAATAGAAAGTGATTAATGAAAAGTAAACTATTTAATACATTAAAATTTAAGAAAAAAATTATTATTTTTAGATAATCAAAAAATATAAAATACTCATTAGCCTCTACATAGTAAGATCTTATTTAAGACCCAACAATAATATTTATTGCAGCAACTATGACTTAAATATTTGCCAAAACGCATAGCAAGTTAGTAACTGGCATATAATAGTATTAAAATTCAATAAGGTCTTATACAATCAGGCCTTATACTATCAAGTCTTATACTATCAAACCTTATCTTATACTATGCACCAAACATGCCCTAAATTCTCATCCCTTCTCTCTAAATCAATTATACAATCCAATTAAGTCAAAACACCATGCATTGTTAATTTGTTTTTTCACTTTTTCTCCAAAGGAGTTATATTTATTATCGTCTTTAATTTTTTCATCAATGCTTTTTATTGGACCTAAATGGTATTCAACAATGAACTATAAAATAATAATATATATTTTTAGTGTAATATAAATATAAAAATATTATATAAATATTCTTTTATATTTCATCCTCATAATCAACATCTTCAATTTACATCACTTTTGCTTTTAAATTCCTAACCCCCTTCCCTCTAACTCAAGTCTACCTACCATTTAAGGTCAAAAGTCAAAATAACTCTACCTACCACTTAAGGTCAAAAGTCAAAATATCGTGTATTGTTTATTTGTTTTTTTCTTTCTTTCTCCAAAGGAGTTATATTTATGATCGTCTTTTATTTGTTCATCAATGCATTTATTGGACCTAAATGGTATTAAATAATGAACTTTAAAATAATGCTACATTTTTTAAAGTTATATAAATATTAATAGGAAAAAAAGTATCTAATGTTACTTTAGATAACTTTACCTAATGTTCATCAAAACGACGTTGTTTTAAATTGAAAAATTAAAAAATTAAAATGATAAAGACTATTATAACCCTTAAATAAATTAAAATTATAAAAACACCATGATTTTCGTCCTAAAGCGACATCATTTTGGTGAACATTAAATAAAGTTATCTAAAGTAAGTTTAGAAAAACAAACTCATTTTAATAATTTATAAATATTCTTTTATATTTCATCCTTATAAACAACATCTCAAATGTATAACGTTTAAGCTTTTAAATTCCTACCCCCTTTGGTGTAACACAACTATATCTATCACTTAAAGATCGAAAGTCAAAACATCGCAAATTGATTATTTGTTTTTTTATTTTTTTTCTCCAAAGGAGCTATATTTATCATCGTTTTTAATTTATTCATCAATGCTTTTATTAGACCTAGATGACATTAAATAATGAATATAAAATAATGTTACATTTTTCAATATTATTTAATTATTCTTTTATATTTCATCCTCCTAACCAACACCTACAATGTAAAAAGTCAAAGCATTTTTTTTTCTCCCTCCAAGATGTATTTATGACCATCTTTAATTTATGGGAAAAATATTTGTCCTTTTAAATGACACAACTTATATCCTTTCACTCTCGCAGAGGTGGGACTCACACCTTTATATTTTTTGTTCCCTCTCTTTCCTCCTTTATCTATCTCTTTCTCTTACTTAAGATGACACAACTTTATATCCTTTGAAATGATACACACTTCTCCCTTAATTTATTCATCAATATATTTATTGGACCTAAATGGTATTAAGTAACGAACTATAAAATAATGCTATATTTTTTAATGGGATAGGTTATTCTGTCTACTCTCGTCTTGCCTACCTTTACCTACCCCTCTCAACACTGTTGGATTACAATCTCATCTAACAGTTCATATTTGAAACATAAATAAAACTTGTACTCTTTTCTCTCTCTCACTCCACCCTTATTCGAAACATAAATAAAACATTTTTACTCTTTTCTCTCTATCTCTCTCTCACTCCACCTTTTCCCTCTCTCTCAGTCTCCACCCTATTCTCTCCTCCCTACAACGAAGAAGACGTATCTTTTCTTGAATCGTTAGTTTAATTTTACCTCTTTCAATTCTAAATTTCTCTAATTGCTTCTTCTTTTTTTCTCCTAATTCATTATAATTTTTTTTCTCTCTCTATTTTTTTTTGGGTTTTGTCTTTGCAGTATGATTTTTTATTTTTAATACCGTCATTGCAGATTTGCGACTATCTGCATCTTTGTCAAGATTACAATGAACTCGCCTTAGCACTGGACTCAGACTTCTTCCCATTGACGAACTAAGACCAAAACATTCAGCCATAAGTAACAATAACAAAGCCAAATACAGAGATATATGTATACTTGATAGGGTGGAGTCTGAGAGAGAATAGGAGAGAATAGGGTGGAGTCTGAGAGAGAGAAAGGGTGGAGTGAGAGAGAGAGAAAAGAGTTGTTCATGGCGGCAGACACAAGCGATTAACGGGGGGAATTTTATCAATTCCCAATTCATGTAATATTGCTGGACGAAATACAATGAATGACGCTGGCGTTTAATGGAAAAAATTATAAGTAAAACTTATCAATTATAAAAACTGAAATGATGAGAATTCAATAGAAAAGTAAAAATCCAAAAATGATTTATTTCGCAAAATTGTTTCGTATAACAATCCCCAGCGCGATGAAGAAAAAAAAATAGGGATGGTGTAGAGGAAGAGAGAAAGGGGAGGAGAAAGATATGGTGTGGGAGGAAGTGAGAAGAAAAAAAGGGAAAAAATTTTATTTTATTTCACAAATATGAACCGTTGGATTAGATTGTAATCAAACGGTAACGAAATGGGTAGGCAAAATGAGAGTAGGTAGAATAACCTATCATTTTTTAATATTATATAAATATTCTTTTATATTTCATCATCGTAACCAACTTTTTTATTGTACAATGCTTCATCTGTTAAATTCTCACTCCTTCTGTCTAACTCAACTCTACCTACCACTTAGGTTCAAAAGTTAAAACATCGTGCATTGTTTATTTAGGTGGTGGTTGGTTCACGACTATATCTTAGTTCACCGGGGAAATGTAATTACTAGGGATCTAGAGGAAAAGTTGAATAGATGGAGAAGTTAAAAAAAAGTAGTTTGATTGGACAAAATTTTACCAGGAAAATATATGAAAATTTTGAAAACCTATGTTTGGTTTAGGAAAAAATATGGATGGGTAAATGATATAAAATTACAAATTTATCCCCAGTACTCTTATCCTATTAAACAAACAAACAGCCAGACCGTATGCCATTTGTCCTCCGTCGATGTTCACCATCAGTTACATTTACACTTCGTCGGTCACCATCTTATTCACACTAGCTTTAAACTCGGCGACCACGCAAGTTTTTCCTTCTCGTCGGCTTGACCAAGTTAACTGTGTCCTAAACCCACACACGCACTTGGACATCACGGTTGTGTTATGGAGTGGATCGGTGCTGGAAGTTAGGGTTGGAGTTGCTTCTTTGCACCAAATTTTTTGGTAAGTGAAGTTAATCCTTTGACATAGATGTTCAAACATTTGGCCTTCCATGAGCTTGTGTATGGACCGTATTGCATGTTGGATATGTTTTGGAATGTTGTAGGTTTGAAACCTTCTTCTTCGCAGAGAAATTTTAGAGAAGAAGGAATATTTTGTGACACCCAGAATAAGAGAATTACATATAAATGAATTAAGTCACATATTCGTATCCTGCATTTGACCGACTGTGAAATATATTTTGTTGTTTTTGGTTTGTGGAAAAAGAAATATATTAAAAGTTAATGAAAGTTTTGATTTTGCTTTCTTGCGGGGGTGTATTAATTGCAAAGATGGTCAAGAAAAAAGATATTGCTGAAGGCATTAAGAAGGACAAAACCATGTTAATCAGAGGGTGCCATGTATCTGACTGATAGTCACGTATTATTTGATAGCTTCACCAAAATCATGAGCCAATGTTAAATGTCCATGACTTGTTGGGTCCAAGGGAAATTATAGTTTACTAAGTGGGTTGCATACATTGCTATTATCTGACTGTCATTGTGTGACTTTTTTTGTAAATGTCCGCAGTCTAGGGACAAGAGGAGTTTGTAAAGGAGAAGACCATTATCTGAAGGAAGCATGGGTGGAAATGGATCTGGAATTGGTGGGTCTGACAGCATAAATTCGAGGCATTCTTCATCGTTATACACATCGAGGACAAAGATGTGCTATCGTGGAGTTCCGGCTGCGTTGCGGATGTCTAATACAAAAAAGAATCCGAGAAGACAGTTTTTTGGCTGCCCTAACTTCAGGACAACGCAGGATTGTCATTTCTTTGAATGGTTGGAAGAATCCACTTGCCGGACTTGTGTGAAGAATGAAAATATGAATAAACTACTAGTTGTTTTGGTAATGGTAATTGTCATAACGTTTGGGATAATTATGTGGAAAGCGATAAGATGCGGTTGAGTTGAAATTGCATGTTGATGCTACATGTCATGTGCATTTCCAAGTTGTTATAGGGTTATGACTTGTTGTATATTTTGTGACCCCACTATGTCTAAGGTTGTTATGTTTGATATATGTTTAGGAACTTTATGTACCTTGTGTGGAACTGTTAGTTGGTTTATATGTTGTCTTCTTGCTAAATTGTGTATTGATTGCAACTTGCATTACACAGTGGCTTGGCTTAGTAATTACTGTTTCAGTTGTTGTTGTATAAATTAGCCGTCTTTTGTATTACTGTTCATGCAGCAATGGGGGACATGTGTGCTCCAGCTTTGATCTGACTTAATTTTATTGGGCATGTAATTTGCTAAAGAATGTACAAAGTAATTACTGTTTCAGTCATGATGTCCTTTTATGGACTTGCTAATGAATTTAATAAGTCAAACACAAAGAGTGCTGTCTGGCAAGAGAAAAGTTGGCTAATAGCAATGTTCGCTTAGTTATGTAATCTTCCTCAAAGATATGATCATTTGGGTGCTGAAATGGCTGACTTTGTTCAGGTGATTATATAGATGTCTCTGTTTTAACTTCGTATCTAGTTAGTTTTGTTGCTTTGTCTGTTGTATAACACCCATCTCGTGTTCTCTGTAGGGTGGCTTGATTGGACTACTTCGTGGAATTGAGAAGTTTGATTCTTCAAAAGGTTTTAAGATTTCAACTTATATTTACTGGTGGACACGTTAGGTGAGGCTTGCATATTTATGAGAACCCTTGGCAGCAACATTAAGGCCACATGGATGATTAGTTGACATCCTAACCTCTGTGAACAAGTAAAAAGAAATTGTATTGCAAATCGTAGAATTAATACAGCAAAGTCAGTGCAAACAACATGCGCATGGAAACTCAATTATAGCAAATGTAACTCTTAATGTTACTTCTGTCAAATACTTTAATTTTTCTCTTAATTTTTTTAAACCTCTAGTTTTACATAGCTTATATTTGACATTCATTATTGATGGGCTTATAGCAATGAAGCCTTATCGAATAGTGTATGCAGGCAGAAAGAGAAGGACCTTGAAGAGGAACAGAAGAACATTGATGAAATCAATGTGTTGTGAGCATCATGAGTTATTGAATGGTATGTTGTCATGCAGCTACTACTCTTTTCCATTTTCTTTCTTTTGCTGAGTACAGCCTGGACTCTTTGCAGGTTGAGATTCAGAAGCTTCTTGATGAACACCAAGCCAATCTTGATGTGAAGAAGCAGGAGTTTGCAGTTGAATTGGATGAGAAAAGAAAATCCTTTGAAGATGGATTGAAGACTAGATTACTGGAAGTGGAAAAGAAAGAAGCTGAAATCAATCACATGGAGGAGAAAGTTACAAAACAGGAGCAGAACTTGGAAAAGAAGGCGGAGAAGCTTAAGGAGAAAGAGAAAGAGAAAGAGCATGAACTAAAATTCAAAGCTTTGAAGGAAATGGAGAAGTCTATTAAGTCTGAGGAGAAAAAATTGGAGAATGAAAAAGGGAAAATAGAAAGCGAGAGAGAGGAATTGCTCAGTCTTAAGGCTGAAGTTGAGAAAATAAAGACTAACAATGAAGAAGAGTTGGTGAGGATAAATGAAGAGATTAATCATCTTAAAGTGACTGAGGAAGAGAGAGGTCTGAATATCTGCGCTTGTAGTCACAGTTGAAGCATGAAGTTGAGCAGTACAGGCTCCAGAAAGAACTCATTATGAAGGAAGTTGATGACTTGAGGCAGCAAAAAGAAACTTTTGAAAGAGAATAGGATGACTTGGATCTGAAAAGAGAAGAAGTGGAGAAAGAGCTGAAAAATGTGATTCAACAGAAGGAAGAAATATTAAAATTACAACAATTTGAAGAAGAAAAATTAAAGAATGAGCAGCAGGCCACACAGGATTACCTACAAATAGAGTTGGAAACTCTTAAGTTGGCTAAAGAGTCGTTTGCCACAGAAATGGAGTTGGAGAAGTCAAGCCTAGCTGAAAAAGCTCAAAGTGAGAGAAACCAAATGCTTCTTGATTTTGAGCAGCAGAATAAAGAACTGGAAGCTGATATGCAGAATCAGTTAGAGCAGAAGGAAAAAGACTTGCTGGAGAGGAGGAAGTTATTTGAGGAACAAAGAGAGAGTAAATTAAACAATATTAATTTCTTAAGCGAAGTAGCTAATAGAGAAATGGATGAAATGAAACTTCAAAGAGGTAAATTAGAGAAGGAGAATCAAGAAGTTTATGAGAATAAAAAGCATCTTGAAAGTCCTGCTGCTGAGGCTAGGTGGTTGTCTCTGTAGTTGGGTGAAGGGGTTATTTTCTTGTTATTTCTTATTTGCATTCTGTTGTTATTTTCCATAGTAATTCGGATATGTCCATTGTGTTTATGGCATACTGTTTGTAAGGGGATACTGGTGAAGTGGGTACTGAGATTTCATCAATATTAATATAAGTCATTTGATTCAGTCAATCTTTTGTTATTAGTTCAATTTTCTGTTTTAATCTCTGTGGGTACCATCAATTATTAAAACTCTGGTAGTCCTTCCTGCAGCCATAATGCCACAATTTCTGCATATGGCTGTCAATTTGTTGCTCCCTTTCATTATTATGTTTGTGTGTAGTAAATATTTGACAAGGGATAGGAAATATTTGACAGTCAACTACAGGCTGTCAACAAATATGTTACTACTTTTGTGTATAAGTAGACCTGTCCTCAAACTGAACCCATGATTGTGGCCATTTATTTGCTGTTCCTTGCTATTTCCTTGTAGCAGATAAATGTTGATTGTGGAATATGATAATAGGTACTTTTTATTCTTAATCTGTCATATGCAGAAATGTTGTCCAGTTCCCATGCGAGCAATAGGTGGGAAGATTTTGTTCTACTGTGCTTGCACCAATGGTAGCAGTAAGGTCAGAGCTTCTTTTGCAACATACATGGCTTTCGGGCAATTGTTTCCAGCAGCATCGTTCACATAAGTCCCATGTCTGCTTCACCTTTATGTGGCTACCAATAGCATTTCTGTCATAAAAAAGGAGACACTGGGATGCCACTAACAGACAATGCATTCAGAATGTTTATGTGGGCCATTTTGTCGATTCATGTATTAGATGAAAATAGGAGTCACAATAAATATGTGAGTGTTAAGGTCTCTCTAACAATCAGCTTTTTTATTGCAATCCTTTTTTATATGCTGGAGTTTGTATTTACAGCAGAATCATGATGCTTGGGGTAGGTTTTTACCTTCCAATGATGTGTTTCTCGTTTTGATCAATTCTGGAATCTTTTTTCATCCAATTTTGTACTCCCATCAGGTGACTCTTGCAGTCCAATTACGATGAATATAAATTGACAGAAAAAGGAAAACATATTTTTAGTCTTATTATTTGCTTGACAGAAGTATCCATATAGCAAGAGTGCAAACACATTCCAAAAATTAAACCACTTCGTAGCAGTAGGACCACCAAATTAACATGCAATGTTCTGCTGCAGCAAGGTTCATTGGATTTAACTTTTCATACATTAATGATACTAAATCTGGGAATATTGATTTTGTATAATTGGATCCTTTTTTAACTGAAATACTGAAGTCATAATAAATGTGTCCAACAAAACAGCCTATCAACACGGCACATATCAATAACTCTTAATACACAAAGCATCTTCAGGGTCCTTATATTGGAGCATTTTCACGCATAATACATACAACCCTACATTAAAAGGTTTATACAAATATTTCCATATGTCCAATGACATGGCTTTAACATTAAATAACAACATCTCTCTGCTTTGTTTCCTTTAGTCCACGATCTCCTCTATCTGTGGTTCAGATCAACATCATGTTCTACAGTCTGTATTTAACAAAACACCTTCAGTTGGTGTTGACAGCAAGGTTTAATAATAGTGTATGAAGCAACTTCAGACCTGTAATAGGAGTTTAACCTGTTTCCATATAATGCAAACAGCAGCAGTAAGGTCATAGTAGTGAGTAAGTACAACAACAAATAAAGTACCAACCATTGCCATTTTAGATGCCATTGACAGATTCTGCTATTGTCTCCGCATTACCTCCGGTGGCTGCATCCTTGCCAAATATCGTTCCCAAAACGTCAAAATACGGGAATGGCTTATTGTAAGGACCTTTGGCATTAGGGTGAGACTGTGCAAAATTAAAATAAGTCAGTTGTACGTAAACTATGAAAGCAAAAGAGAAATGACAGTTGTTCATAGTAAAATAATATCTTAATAATAAAGTTACCTTCACCCAATCGTCGAATATTTCCTTCTCGACGTCAATCATTTTTTTGGCGTCATTCCATCCGAAACCACTCCCACCACCAGTTCCGACCATCTCAGAAATAGCATTGTACTATTTTTTCAACAATTTCACCCTGGAGGTAATGTGTGGGATAGCTTTCAGTGAACAATTAGGTATCTTGAGGTGCATCATCTTCTCTATTGCAAAAGAGAAGCTCGGTTTAAACCCATTCTCACCTCTGAAACATGGTATGACTTCGGTAAGACAATCAATAAGGACTTTATCTTCCTCGGTCGTCCAAGTGTGATTATGTTTGTTTCTTGAATTCTGGCTGTCCTCAGCCATAGATTGAATCCAACAAAGACAGGAACTGCCAAAAATTAACAAAATTAGGTAACTGAGATTGATAATTGTATGACATGAGGGCAACAATAGAATGATCACACATGTGGACAATTTCATAAACAACACTAACTAAACAAACGAAAAATCATACATTCACAAGTGCATGGTCAATAAGGACAGCAAGGTATCTCATATTACAACATAATAGCAAATGGATTAAAGTTTACATAACCAGACAACAAAAAGTAAACCCTAAACACAACACTCATTGGTTTGCAATCATGAGAATCAAGCACGATTCCTCCACGTGTTAAACATGGTATTCGCCATTTCATCCCTCCGCAATGTCCATGCATTAGATGACTCTACATGAGTAATCAAATCAATTCCTGCCATGTCATCTTCAGCATGTTGCATGTCCACATCTTCAGCCTCCAATGGGTCCACTGACATCTCTCTCCTTATATGGTTATGAAGCAAGCAAAACGCGCTTATAATCCTGCATTGTGTTTTCACGGGATAAAATGACTTTGATCACACAATTGCCCAACGACCCTTCAGCATTCCAAAGCATCGTTCAATGACATTCCTTGCAGAGGAGTGTTTCATATTAAAAAATTCTTGGGTTGTTCTTGGTTGGGCACCGTGCCTCCATTCACTTAGATGATATCGTTGTCCTCTATATGGCGTAAGGAAACCTTCTCCATTCATGTAACCAGCATCACATAGGTAATAGTATCCTACAACAACAAAAACGGTTAACATGCAATGTCAAAACAGGTCATGTAGTAATTAAGTAAAAATACAAATGTAATGATGAACCACCAAAGAGTCCTAGTCAATACCTTTAGGAACCTTCAAACCGTTTATTCGGCCTATGACATCTCTTAGTACCCTAGAATCGGCAGCTGATCCCTCCCAACCAGGCAAGACGAAAATAAACTGACCATCTTGAGAACAAACCCCTAAAACATTAGTTGCAATGTCACCCTTTCTTGTGCGGTATCTGGCCTTATCTTCTTGTAAGGGATTAATCTTTATGTGTGTCCCATCAAGAGCTCCCAAACAATTCTATAATACATATTACAAAAATTAATAACATGGTCACATGCTTGATACTTGAATTTTATAGCAAGAGTTGTAACAGGAACCACACTTATCTCTTACCTTGAACCACTTCCACTTCTCATCAGTTGAGTTTTCCGGGATTGGCTCAGGTCGTTTAAGTAGAACATTGTGATAGCGTAACACTGACAGCAACACATTAGAGAATTGTCTACTAATGGTTTCCCCTGACCTCGCAAATTGTCTTTTAATTATCCTGTTCTTGACATCGTGAGCCAATATGTGAAGGAATATTGCAACCATCTCCTCTACACCCATATGCCGTGTCGGTTGAAGTTGCCCAACAGCTTTAAGCAACCCACACAAGTTATGAAAACACCTCCTGTCCATCCTTGTGTTCTCGATACAAGCGGTGTCACTTATATGAACAATCCTAAGGAAGTTAACTTCCCTTAC